CCCCGAGCGGAGTCCCGCTCGGGCACGGCTCGTAGGTCGGTGCGTGTTTTTTTTTAAATAATTCCGCGCAGAAGAAAAATAAAAAGAAATACTAAACGGACTCCAAAATTCGCGAAATAAATTTTCCACGACTTCTAAAATCAAGCTGGACTAGATGAACATTTATTCGGGGCCTAAATGAAATTTTGAAAAACGCGCATTTTTCCTAAATTCAAATAAGGGCGAAAAACTCCAAAATAAAATCTTATTTGATTTTTTTATTAAATCTTCATTATTTCTTTATTTTGGGAAAGTCATTTTATTCCCTCTCTGAATTTTTGGTAGTAGAAATAATTGAAGATAAAATAAATAAAATCAATGATCCTATTTTCAAAATTTGAGAAATACCCAAATAAGAAAATAACGAAATCCCCAACTCTCTCCGTGGGTCCTTGAGTTGCATAGAATTTCTAGGATCGAGCCAATAATGCAAGAAAATATGATATGCAATGATGATCTATGTATAACATTCCAAATTGAAAATTTGGGATGTTACAAACCTACCCCCCTTAAGATGAATCTCACCCTCGAGATTCGGGTTGGCTAGCAAATAGGTGAGGGTGGTCCTTGAGCAGATCTTGCTCTCGCTCCCAGGTGGCTTCCTCCTCAGTGTGGTGGCTCCACTGAACTTTGCAAAACCTGATAACCTTGCTGCGGGTAACTCTGCTAGCATAATCCAAAATCTTAACAGGTTTCTCTTCATAGGTCAAATCTTCTTTGAACTGAATCGTTTCCAGTGGTTGTATCTCTTAGTGGTATATCAGCCATCTCCGCGTGGCACTTCTTCAAATGTGAAAAATGGAACACATCGTGAACTCCTGACAATCCCTCAGGTAATTACAACTTGTATGCTACTTCTCCCATGCGTTCCAAAACCTTGTATGGCCCCACAAAACGTGGCGCTAACTTTCCTTTAACTCCAAAGCGTTTAACTCCTCGAAGTGGAGATACTCGAAGATAAACTCTGTCTCCGACTTCATATTCTGTCTCTTTGCGTTTCGAATCTGCATAGCTCTTCTGCCTTGACTAAGCTACCTTGAGCCTGTCGCGAATCAACTTTACTTTCTGTTCAGACTCCTTAATCAAATCTGGTCCAAACAACTGGCGGTCTCCAACCTCATCCCACAACAACGGGGTTCTGCACCTCCTTCCGTACAAGGCTTCGAAAGGGGCCATCTTCAAACTGGATTGGTAACTACTGTTGTAAGAAAACTCCGCGTATGGCAAGTTGTCATCCCAACTTGATCCATAATCCAAAACACAAGCTCTAAGCATATCTTCCAAAATCTGATTGACTCTCTCGGTCTGTCCATCTGTCTGTGGGTGGAAAGCTGTGCTAAACTCCAGTCTGGTTCCCAATGTTTTGTGCAACTGCTTCCAGAACTTCGAGGTGAATTGGGTTCCTCTATCTGATATGATACTCCTCGGAACTTCATGCAAACATACAATCCTCGTCATGTATATCTTAGCCAATTTGGCACTGCTGTAGGTAGTCTTTACTGGGATGAAATGAGCTACCTTCGTCAAACAATCAACTACAACCCAAATCGAGTCATAGCCTGAATGAGTCCTGGGCAATCCCGTGATGAAATCCATGCCTAGTTTATCCCACTTCCATTCGGGTATAGGCAATGGCTGCAACAATCCAGCTGGCTTCTCGTGTTCTGCCTTCACC